TGTTGTATGCCTTGAATACTACAAGATAAATTTCTGATTGAAATGTTTATGAACACTGTTATATTGGAAACTTTGTGGTTTAAAGATTCTTAATTTGCGTGTGAAGTTAATGATAGATGTTTGCAGGAACTAAAGCAAGTTTCCCGAAGTGTCTCACAAGTGTTGAGTGGAAGAATGTAGTATCTCTGATATTCCATTTCTATAGCACTTAATCTGGATTAAGCTCTTTTGAACTATATCACGTCTTGCCAGGGTTGATACTCTCTGTGGCAAAAACCAAGCTAAATATTATGTGAGAAAGTGGTAATATGAACATTCTTGTGCAGCAACCATTATGTTCTTTGTATATAGAAAGTACAGTTTTGTAGAAATTATGTTGGTTGAGGAAATTCACCCTACTTGTTTTAATCCCAGCCTTAGTGGTGGTGGTGGTGAGGATGAGATATTTGAGTATCATAGGGATTCCATTTAATAAGGTTTTGTTGTTTTTTTGGTACTTCAGAAATAAAAACTGACCCAACTGACAGATATTAAGCATCAGTTATGTACGAGGCACTGTGGTAGATAGAAAAAGTATGATATGATACCTACACTGAAAGTTTATTCTCTATTCAGGGAGATAGACATATATGAAAAAATAAATACAAAGCAATATATAAATGCCAATTTGTGGCACAGGTTAGTTTTAAAGGATTTTAGAGGAGAGATTACTATGACCTGGGGTGCTTAGAGAAGTTTTAATTGGGTTTGAGGTAGGCTGTGATAGATGAGTGGGATTCACATGGAGAGAAGCGAGGGATAGGGTACCAGGTGAAGGGAATGGAATGAATAAAAACTCAAGAGACAAGGAATATTCAGCACAGAAAAGGTGGGCCTAACTGGAGTGGAGGCTTTATTTAAGGGGAATAGAAAAAGCTAATGTTGGGAAAGTATGTTGGGGCTAGATTGTGAAGGACTTTGAATGCTAGCAAGGAGTTTGGGGCAGTTGGGAGGTGCAATGGATACAGTGCTAGGCCTGGAGTCAGGAACACCTGAGTTCAAATCTGGCCTCAGACACAAGCTGTGTGACTCTGGGCAAGTTCCTTAACCCACTTTGCCTCAGTTTCCTCATATGTAAAATGAACTGGAGAAGGAAATGGCAAACCATCCTCGTATATCTTTGCCAAGAAAACCCCAAATAGGGTCATGAAAAATTGGATACAACTGAAATGACTGAACAACAACATGACCTTATGAAAGCTAGCCTTCCTATCTCTGCTCCAAATCCTGTCCCTTCTTCAGGGAACTGGTCATCCCTTCTGTCTTCTGTAACTTCAATTTCTCCTTTCATGGCTTTTCTTTTTACAAACTTGCCTTTCCTAAAAAAAAAACCCAAACAAACATGAACCCCCAAATGACCTTACTTTTGAATTACTATCCTATCATGGCCCTTTTACTGCCAATATCTTATAAACTTCTGGAAAGCGTACACTGAAATCACAGCCCCTACTTCATCTCCCACTCCTCAACCCCTGCAATATGGCTTATGTCCCAGACATTTTACCAACTCTGTACTCTCAGAGGTCAGTGACTTCCCCATCACTTCCTCATCAAGGCTAGTAAGGTAATGAATTCTTCTCAGTCCTCATCTCCTAGAATAGGACAGCCATAATGATGAAGAGCCTTAAGTCTATGCCAGATGAGAACTGACTGAAGGAAGTGGAGATGTTTAGGCTGGAGAAGAGAAGGCTAGTGGGAAGGGCAATACCATCTTCAAACATTTGAAGGCTCTCATGTAGGGGAGGGATTTAACTTGTCTTTTTTCTGTTGTGAAAATACTTGCAAAATATGAACAAGGGATAGAAGCTGCAGAGAGACAAACCTAGACTTGATATCCAAACACATACATACACACACAACCTTCTTAATAATTATAGCTGTCCAAAAGTGGAATGGTGGAAGTAGCGTTCCTTATTGGAGGTTTCCAAACAGAGGTTGGATGAACATTTATTTGCTATGTTGTGGTGGGAATTCTTCAGATATGAGTTGGACTAGATGGCCATGGAGCTACCTTCTGAGGCTGAATTCTGTGATTCCTTGACCTTCCTTCATCATAGGACACTAATGATCACCCCTCCATAATGAATATGGATGGCTCCTGTGGCTTTTGTGACACCATTCTGGATCTTTCTACCTCTGATTATCTTTCGATGACTTTTATTCTTCTTCCATGCCCCTTGATGTAGGCTAATGTTGTGACCCTTTCCCCCCCTCTACATTTTTTTCCTTCATGCCCTCTTTTCACCCAGTAGTTTTAGCTTTCACTCCTATAGAAATGACTCCCAGTTTTGTATTTCTAACCCTGAGTGTCTTATCCATGCTCCCTCTTTTCCCACTTTGTCAAAAAGAGGGTATGATGATCCAAGTCATTTTCAGAGAATGCTATGTTGTAAGGTGATCACCACATCAAAGGACTAGGTAGGAGTGACAAAGGAGTTTGTAGCAGCAGTCCAAAGATGGCAATTGCAGAGCAGGTCAGGGAAAAAGCGCACTATGGAGAGAGCAGTAGGCATTGGGGGGAAGACCATTTTTATCTCACAAAATGGGATGAAGAGTTCTTTAATTGTAGAAGCATGTTGTCCATACCCCTTCTTTGCTCTGATGTGGTGTGATATTACCGTGGGCCTAGACTTCATAACTGTGGCATATCTAGACATTCGCCATAGGGGTCTCAAACTCAAGAAGATATTATCTCTCTGCAACCCCCCATAAAATCTCATTCTTCCTCTCAATTGTCCTTTTTTGTTAATCACACCATCATTCTCCTAGTCACCTCTGCTTTGCTGGACACTTCAGCCATTCTTGACTCTACCTGCTCCCAAATCTAATTAGTTGCTGAGTTTTTTCAGAATCTTTTGTCTCCCTCTACAGGGTCTCCTATGTCCACTCCCTCTATTCCAATGCTGCTGCCTCTACCTCCACTTTACATCAGACCCTGATTCCTTTTTGCAATCAATCCTAAGCAATTTCTCTTCCAATCACAGGATCATAGGATCATTGATCTAGAGCTAGGTGGGACCCCAGGGGCCACCTAGTCCAACCCTTTCATTTCACAAAGGAGTAAACTGAGGCCAAGAGAGATGGACTGTCTTAACCAAGGTCACACAGGTGGTAAGTGGCAGAGTCAGATTTGAGCTATTGTCTGATGACAGAGCTGGTACTTTTCCCACAGTACCACCTACACCATCCATCCTACACAGCCCTGTTGGGTTGCTCTTTGTAATGCCTGTGTCTAATTTTGTTAGTCCTTGCTCAGAAGGCTCCCCACTGCCTAAGTCCTAGCTCCTTAGCTTTGCATGCTAGACACTGCGTGTGCTGGTTTTAATTTCCTGATCCATTTTTACTCCAGAGCATTCTCTTTCACCCATAATAGATATGAGTTAAACTGGAACACTCTTCCCTGAACATACCCAAATTTCCCCACTTCCATTCCTCACTCTCTGGACTTTAGTCCTATACCCAGCAAGAGAGTTTTCTCTTTCCTACCTCAGCCTTTTAAAATATCCTTTTATGTTTTATCTTCTCCCATGAGAATATAAGCTCCTTGAAGTAGGGTCCTACTGCCTTTTTGCTTGTGTTTGTATTGCCAGCATTTAGCACAGTGCATGACACATAGTAAGCACTTGATAAATACTTACTGCCTTGACTTGACACTATGCTTCTGTTTATGTGATGCCTTGGTGGTTCAGTGGATAGAGTCCTGGACCATGAGGCAGGAATGGGTTCAAATCCTGCCTCAGACACTCATAAGCTGTGTGCCTCTGAGCAAGTCAGCCTCCCTCAGCCTTAGTTTCCTCAACTGTAAAACGGAGATATAATACTAGTACCAGTCTCAAAGGTTGTCATATGTAAAGCACTTTGCAAACATTAAAGTTCTACATTAATGCTAGTTGTTATAATCATCATCATCATCATCATCATCAATTTTGTTATTATGCCATTACCTATTCCCAGAATACTGTCCCTAACATCTCATGGGTTATGCTTCAAGGCTCAACTTGAATGCAACTTCCTCCACAAAGCCTTCCTTGTACCCTCAGCCAGAAGTAGTCCTTTCCTCCTTTGAATGTGTACTTATCTTTATGACATACAAATTAAGATATGAAAGTGTATTTGTGTATGTATTAGCTTTCTACTAGTATACTATAAGTCCTTTGAGTTCAGAAGAGCTCAGAACCTTGCATATAGCAGATGATCAATAAATGTTTGCTGAGTTTAATTGAAAATAGAATTTTACTGAGATTCTGGTAGCAGTGTTATGGGATATATCGAGGGTAAATACTGGAGGCAGTGAGGTTACTTAGGAAGCTTTTGATAGCAAAAGTCCAAGTGTGAGGTGATGGAGTGAATGAGAGTGGAATTAGTCGGAAAGAAAGGAGTTGATACATTCCAAATAATATGAAAGAAGAATAATAAGACTTGGTGACTTGAGGGGTGGGGGAGAGAGAGAGAAATAGGGTAGTGATGAGTCATAGATGACTTTTCAAACCAATGTTGGAGAAAATGATGGTATATTTCTTATACTTGTTGTAATATAGCATAATACAGATAATCAAGATTAATGTGTGTCCAATGTCATGAAAGTAATTTTCAATGTAGGCATACAGATTTTCACCTCTCTATATATGTCCAGTTTAAAGTAAATTGAGGCCTATTTCACGTGAAATACCTAGAGAAGAAGGAGTGTGATTATATTTTCTACTTTCTTGCTTACTTTGTTGTTTTGGGTCTTGAATTTATATATGAATCAAAAAGATTATAGTATATTATTATAGAGGCCTGAGAAATTAGCATTTTATTTTCATGTTATTTCAGGGAGAAACTCTTGAATGCCAGCTCATGAGGGAGACATTGAAGAATGTATTTGGATAAAGGCAGTAGACTGTTAGAAGCAGAATATATGAAAATAGGAAAAAGAATAACCACAGAAGAGATTTAAAAAATCTCTTTATTGATGTGTGTGTTTTTTAATATTGCTATCGGCTCCTTCCTTCCCCTCCGTAGAAGCTTCTCTTATAAGAAGGGACTGTACTTAAGTAAAACAAATCCTGTATGTTTCCCCCACCTCTTAGCAGAGGGTCAGCTGTTATGTTTCACTCTCAGACCTATGAAAGCAGGAGAGATCACTGCATCACCCAGAGCTGTGAAGTTGCTTAGTGTTATTTTCCTTTACGTCACTGTGGTCATCATGCAGATTGTTCTGGTTCCATTAACTTCATCCTCTCTCAGTTCCTACAAGCATTCCCAGATTTCTCAATTTGTCACATTTATCATTTTTTTAAAAATAATTTTTATTGATATCTTTTGTTTTTTATATCATTGACTTTCCCACTGTGTCCCTCCATCCAGAGGGCCACTCCCTATAACAACGAATAAAAAAAGAGGAAGAAAAAGTTCAACAAAAGTAATCAATACATCAAACAAGTCTGACATTCTATGTGGTGTTGCACACCTGTGGTCCCCAGCTCTGTAAAGAATTGGGGAGAATGGTCTTCTCATGTCAAGAGAGAGATTTTTAATAAGAATACAATGTATATAAAGAGACAGTTTTTGTTGTGCCATCGAATAAGGATGAGGGGGGTAGAAAAGGTGTGTTGAGAAACAGCTAAGTAGTGATGACTATAATGTATTTAGTGAAAAGTCAAAAGAGTCTACAAAAAACCCCACTTCAGATGAAAACCAGTATGTCACATATAGTAAAGATACTATCAAATAAAGCCCCTGCCTACCAGAGATTTAACACATTTGTATTAGTTTGCCACCAAAAAGTATAAAAATTACAGCACATCAAAGTTTTCTTCTATTTAAAGTCAAAAGATGGTGCCTCTAAAGAAGATCTATTTTCCCTAATACATTTCGTTTACTAAACAACAAATATAACATTTCCATATCCTCAGGGCGCTTAAAAGCTGCACAGAGCAAATAAGAGATGTTAAATGCTTTCATTGTTATGAACATCTTAGAAGTATAATACCCTATGGAAGGAGAATGGCTATGATGTTCTGGAGGTTTAGTTCAGCCCTCTGAGTCTAAGACAAGGTTGGGGATAAGACCTGTGATCTCAATAGTATAGAGATCTCTCAGGTGAGGAAATTCCCTTCACCAATGCAGGTTGGCAACCTCTTTGTATCTTACAGTCTTAGAGACCTGTCCATTGCATTGAGAGCTTAAAAGATTTGCCCAAGCCAACACTGCCAAAGTATGTCAGAGGCAGGACTTGAACGCATGTCTTCCCAACTTTAGGTCAGCCCCTTATCCACTACTCCACATGGCCACCATTAAGAGCAAATGATTGTGCAAAACAAATACTTTGTGTAAACATCCCTGATAGCTAACAAAATTGTAGAAGCATACTTTAATTTCTGTAGTATTAATATAGCTCTGACCCTACGGTGCTACAGTTACATTATAGCTAGCATCCTTTGCTACAAGTCTCTCCCAGGACCGTAGTGTACAACTTCAGTGTGTTTTGAGGGGCCTTATTTGCTCCATGGGAGCTATTTTTGCAGTTGGAGGTATAAGCTGAAAAATTCTCCACTCTATAAAGTTCTGCTCTGTTTTTACAGTAGCCAAACTTGCTCAGTAAAAGAAAAAAATCCCTTCGGAAGGCCTTTGTGAAAATTGCATACAGAAATGGATTTGCACAGGAGTTAACTGGGTAAAATAACACCAGTAAAATTTTGGAGTTGGTCACTGTGATGAGAGGTACTTTGAAAGCAGCTGAGATGGCAAAAAATGAGATAGGTGCCATGCAGGTGAAATCAGTGAATATTAGTATTGCCATTTTCTTGGCAATCTTTGTATCCTTGTTGGCTGCTACAAGCTCTGGATTCTGGACTGCAAAGTAAATTTTAATATAACAAGCACAAATGATGATGAAGGCAGCCACATTGATTACCAGGATGATCAGTATGTATGCTTGGGAGAGTGTGGTCTCAATATCCATGGGGAGACAAATGCTGACCTTCATGTAATTGCTAATACCCACAAGGGGCAACACTGCAAATATCGTGGAGAAAAGCCAGCCTCCAAGCATGATCAGTACGGCATGTCTTAATTGTAGCTTTCGATCTAGCTGCATGGCATATGTTATAGTGTGCCACCTTTCTAGAGTGATTACAGTGAGTGTATAGACAGAAAGTTCACTTGCAAACACAGTGAAAAAACCAGCGGCACTGCAACCACTTCCTGTCTGCCAATCTATGGCATGGTTATGATATTGGCCTTTGGTTTTAGAATCGACTGAAGCAATAAGCAGCAGATAGAGCCCCATGCAAAAATCTGCAAAAGAGAGATTGCACATGAGGAAACGGGGCACTGTCATTTTGTAATGACTGGTCAGCAAAACAAAGAGGACAGTGAAGTTTCCCATGATTGCTAGGAGATTTATGAGCCAAATGAGGACTCTAAGGAAGTCATAGCCCATGATATCTTCACAAGGATTAAAGGCATCTGGTTCAGGAGCACATCGAAGTATTTTAGGTGAGCAGAAGCCATAGTCATAATCCCAGATACTTAGTTCACTCTCCGCAAAGATGGCCGAATAGCTGTAAGAAGAATATCTTAATTGGTTGTAAACTTAAGAAATTTTCTTTGGTTCTGAGTACAAAAAATGCAAGAATTATCTTCAGTACTGTTTTTTAAGCCAAAGAAACAAAAGGAAGCAAAACCACAACAAACCCTGTTCTACATTTATTTGTTAAATTATCTCAGAACTCTGAATTGATGTAGGAGTTCTTTAAGAAAAAAATAAAACATCATTTAGACTTTTTTTTTTATAGATTGTGCACATTGATGCAAAGACTTAACGAAGCTGTTTACAGAGGATGATTTTCTTTGGAAAACAAATTTAGAGACACAATATATGCTTACTAAACTCGAAAGAATCCTTTCTTGGCATTTTCTTAGCTATTTGTCTCATTTATTTGCCAGCCAAACTACTATCAAGCTGTTATTCTGTAGTAGAGTACAAGCCTCATTGCAAGGCTTATATTGAAAATCTGCAACAGCTCCTGGTAGACTTGTCTTCCTTCAAGATTTCAAGATTTCTTGAACCAACAACAGTGTAGTATGTAGAAGTAGGATCAGTGATAGATCAGGAGATATAGGAGGCTGGGTAAGGCCATGGATGATGGTGAGAGATAAGTAAAAGGCATGGTGAAGAGTGTGTGTCAAGCAAAGGGAGACTATGAAAATGGTTCTACTGCCTAAAGGACACATTTAAATGGAAAGAAGTTTCTCATCTGGACCAGGTAAAAAAGATGGCTCTAACTCTGAAGGAGTTGCTATAACGCTCAGTGTTTGGGTAAGATTATAATACTATGATGCACACAGGCCCAATAAATATTCCTTTTGGTGGGGAGGAATAGATTATTATTAAAATAGTGAGGCCATAGAAGCTACTATTATCCTGTCAAGGTCCTTGCAAATATCTTAAATTAGGGTTGGTCACTTACACTTTTCTTCTTTCCCCTGCCCCAACCCAGTAATCTACCTTATGAAATAAGAAAGTGATAGGGGAAAAAGTTTTAAGAACTGGGCCTTTAAAGAGATGTTTGATGTGAATAATAATATAGAGAGCAGTTTGGAAAACAGATGTTAACACATGAGAGAAGGGAGATGCTCACCAAAGGGATACTACTCTCTAAGTGCAGTTATGGAGATGAAAATAACTTGATATAGGAATCTTTGCCTCTTTATTAACTGTGTGATGTATCAGTTCCCATATCATACATTTCAATTTTAATAAGGTTTCTGCCTTTAAAGGTGTGAGACAGGGATAAAAAAAGATTTACAAAAGGAAGAGAAAAGAGTGAACTGAAAGAGAAGAAAATTAATGATATAGAAGAACAAACTAATTATCTTGGGGGCACTTGGTTTTGGTTTTGCATGTAATGGTAATTCTGAACCTCAGAAAATGTAGGGATGGAGCAATGATTATTTTTCTGAGGCAGTAACATCTATATTTGAAGGAAAGTCTATTAGAAATAAATAGTTAAGATATGTCAACAGACATGTAGTTACAATATAGTATAGATGAAGTTAGAGGATATGGGTCAATAAAAGGCACACTTTATTAAACTATGAGTGCCTTGCCACATATCTTGGAGATATTTCTTCCATGTATAAATGCCCCCAAGTCTCTCCCTTCTCCCTAAATTTCCTTGTATAGAGCTGTTAGACACCCATTTTGGTCCATAGTCTCACTGCCAACGATGACTCAGGGGGATGGGGCCTTTGGTGAATGGGGAAATTTGGTTTTGCTTTCATTATGAAATGACACAGGGAAAACATTCCTTGTTTCTTCTGCTTGTTTTCCTCTGCTTCAAAATATTCAGACCCCAGGATAAGTCACTGAGACAACTTTAAACTAAGGAGGTTGGTGATTTAGCTAGCCTAAATCCCTATTCAGAAAGATGCCTCCAGGGTACTTATATTGATGACTTTGGAAACCGTCTAGAATTCATTAAAACCAATTTATGACTTATCTACTACACACACCAAATGGAGAAAGGTCTCTCCTAGTCAAATCATCACAAATTAAGTTATCATCTGGCTATTAGTGACTTCAAAATAGGTTTGAATAAATCCATTAATTTTTGAAATATAAGCAGTGATCAGTTAGACACAATGTGCCATTTTTTGTGTCTTGTCTAGCCCAAGAGAGGTGTCACTTAATAGCACAGGTGACACTTGAAAAGAGAAATTCCTGTTTTACAACTATTAAAACATCCTTTGCAACACTCTTCCCTTCCAAGATTGATCTGATATTAAAAAAACACCTTTGTATCAAAAATAATGAAGTGCATTCAGAATTGTATTTCTTTGCATGCAAATACTTACAATGTTTCATTATTTGGTTTCCTTGCTGTGCTTTCACATTGTTTGGAAAAGTTTTCAAAAATGGAAAGTGAAATATTCTGGCTAAAATAGAAGAAAGAAGGAGTTAAGCTTTTGGTCTTTAAACGAAATCTGATCATGTCTATTTATGCTTTGTTCCTCCAGTTCTTTACCTATTACACCGGCATCTATGTTCTGCACCATTGTCCTAACTGAAGTGCTTCCTGCTGGGAAACTAAAGGCTTCTGAATTGTCATTATAGTATTCTCAGCTTAGATAAAACACTCCTGAATGCTAAGTATTTTGTGTGGGCTCTAGAGAGAAAAAATCTTGTATTTGTCACAATGAAGCATGGCTCTCTCAATGCTCATTAAAAGCTTCCCTTGTAGTGTATTAAGGCTTGCTGTTCACCACTATCCTCTCTACTTTGGCCTTGGTAAGTAGGTAACTAGTAAAAGTTCATGGCTTTGAATCATCTTGAGGTCTGTTTTGCAAAAACTGAACAAAAGTTGAGGATTTTGGACCCCTACATTCTAGTTTGGATATCAATGCTTTTATATTTATGGACTGAAATGTTTTCTACCCACTCCGCCACCCCGCAAGTCCCTAAATGGATTAGCCAATGGGCATCTGGAAACATAACAATAACATAAAAGAATATCAGTATTTGCAAACCTAAAAACAAGCTAGGGCTAAGCACAAAGGGAAAAAGGATTAAGTAAGATGTGAGAATAGCAGTATTTCCTTAGAGAAGTGCAAGATAACCTTTACATCTTTTTCAGCCATGTTGACTGGAGAAGTCCTAATATAAACCCTGTTGTACAAAAGTGAGGTGGGTTAAGTGTCAGAGTTAGGAATGAACTATCCTTTACAAAACTATGGATGGGTGCCTTTCCGTGTCGACTTGTAAGATTACACTTCATGGATGCAGAATCACAAAATGTTAGCGCTGAAAGAGACTTTAAAAATCATCTAATCCAATTGTCTCATGGATGAGGACACTGAAACCCAGAGAATAAAGGAATGAAATAAATTTTAAAAATCTAAATATTTAGTATTTACACTGTGCCAAGTACTGTGCTAAGTATTGGGGGTACAAATACAAAAGGAAAAACAATTTCTCAAGGAGCTTATAGTTAAACAGAGGGGAGAGAGGGAGGAGCAACATACTAGAAAGTATGTTGTACCAATGGTGAGCGAGGCCCCAGGGGAAAAGACACATTCCATCCAGGAACGATGTAAGAGTTGATTTGATGATGGTTCATGGTTCCAGAATTGGAGTGGGGGTGGTGGTGGAGCAGTAATCGGATTGGCAAAAAGGCTGTGGTGGAGGTAGCCAGAAAGGAGAGAGTGATGTATAGTGATGTGATTGGGGCTTTTGTGAAATAGAATTCTGAGAGAGCAGTCACCAACCAGGAGACAGGTGTTCCAGGGCAGAAGTTCCTCCAGAGCATTGTGGGTAATAGCTTGGTGAGGAGGTTATGGAGGAGGTACTCCAAATATGTCCAAAACAAGATTCATCTTTCTCCCCAAACTGTTCCCCCCCCCCCATTTCTCTATTATTGTGGAGGGCACAATCATCCTCCCAGTCACTGTCTCTCAACTTGACTTCTCACTCTCACCCCCTACATACAATCTGTTGCCAGAGGGCTGTCAATTCTGCCTTCCCATCTTTCCAATAAACATCCTCCTCTCCTCTGACGCTACCATAACTCTAGCATAGGCAGGACTACTGCAGTAGTCTGGTTGGTCTTCCTTCCCCACTCTCTCCCTGCTTCAATCCATCTTGAGCTGTCAGAATGATCTTGATAAAGTGCAGGTCTTTCTACATCACCTTCTACTCCACTGGGTGCCTATTACCTCCAGGATCAAATATAAATTCCTCTGTTTGGCTTTTAGGACCCTTCATCCCAGGTCCCTTCTTACCTTCCCAGTTGTCTTATATTCTATTCCCCTCCACATATCTTTTGACTTTTAACCCCCATGCCTGGGAATACTTTCCCTCCTCACCTCTGTCTCCTGATTTCCTTGACTTCCTTCAAATCTCAGCTAAATCCTACCTCCTGCAAGAAGCTTTTTACTGGTTTCCCTTAGCACTAGCTCCATAGCTACTCTGTATGTAGTTGTATGTTATTACTTCCATTAGAAAGTAAGCCCTTTGAGAAGAGGGACTGTATTTGCCTTTTTTGTATGTCTGATATATAGTAATCATTTAATGAGTGCTTTTTGGCTGACTAGTTAGAGAGAAGGGCATGATGACCAGAGTTACAGAGCTAGTGAATGTCAGTCAGGACTTGAACACAGGTTTCCTGACTCCACTTCTGATCTTTCTGCTATATCACAGCTGCTGCCCCAAACCCTGGATCAAATGTTTTGGGACCTTCCAGTCCTTATACTGTATTATGCAGGTATTTGTGTTCTCTAGAGACAAATCTGCTATTGAGAAGAAATGTGAATGTTCTTGGCTTTTAGATGCTATCCCTTGGCATCACTCTCTTTATCTTTGTGAAAACCTTAATGAAAGATACCAAGGGGCCTTTCAGGCCATCTGCTCAATACAGCTGTATGTTATCTAGTACATTGAAGCTGCAGGTCAGGGTTGTGACACCAAATTGCACAAACATTCCTTTGGCATCCAACTTAAGCCCTTCAACACCCAGCAGCATCCAAAGTGTTAGTGCTTCAGTCCGGAATCCCGATCTAAAGAATCTTTCCCTTTGAAGCTATTTCCTTCTCAGTCTGAAATTAATATAACAATAGCTAGCATTTGTGCAGTGCTTTAAATTTTGCAAAGATCTGATTGTCTCATTTGATCTTCACAACAACCCTGGAAGTAGGTTCTGTTATTCTCATCTCCATTTTGCAGATGAGGAAACTAGGGCCTAGAAAGGTTAAGTGACTTACTTGTACAGGGTCACATAGCTAATAAATGCCTGAGGCAGGAGTTGAAGTCAGGGCTTCCTGACTCCCAGGCTGGTGCTCTATTTACTGCAAAACCCAGTTGTCTCTAAGGAAATGCTTGTTGACTTCCCTGGCAGTGTAGGCTTGGAAGTGTAAGATTAGGGAATCATCATCATCATTATAAAAAAATTTTTTTTAAAGTACCTACTTAATTGTATATGATCCTATGTTAAGCATTATGTCTGTCTTCTTTTCTCCCAGCTCCTTAAGGGCAAAGTTTCTGTCTTAAATTTATTTGTGTTGCCAGCACAAAAAATTCCCCTTTCCATAAACATGGCTCATATATGTCCAGTTTTTCCTTGAAGACCTCAGATGAGGAGGAGTCCATGACCCACTAATGCAGCCCATTCCACTTTTGGATAAGTATGCTTGTTAGGAAGTTTTTCCTCATATCAAACATAAATTGTCTTCTTTGTACCTTCCACCCATTGCTACTTGTTCTACCAGTAGGACGTATTTGTAAAGCACGTGGTGCAGTGCCTGGCACGTAGTAGGCACTCTGTAAATGCTTATTCATCTGTCCCCAACTTCCTCTCTAGAACCTAGAACAACAAATCTGATCCTTCTTTCACATTATTTCATATATTTGAATATAGCTATATAGTCTTCTCTTCTTCATTCTTATTTCCTTCAACTAAACCTCACGGCCCCAAGACTCTTCATTGTCCTGATTGCCCTCCTGTACTCTTATTAATGGGAGCAGCTGGGTGGCATGGTGGATCGAGTGCCAGGCCTGAAGTCAGAAAGACTCATTTTCCTGAGTTCATATCTGGCGATAGACACTTATTAGCCATGTGACCCTGGTCAAATTGCTTAACCCTGTTTGCCTCAGTTTCCTCATCTTTAGAATGAGCTGGAGAAGGAAATGGCAAATCACTCCAGTATCTTTGCCAAGAAAACCTCAAATGGGCTCATGAAGAGTCAGACGACTGAAAAGACTGAACAATAACAATAATCACTGTTATTAATGTAATTTCTAAAATGTGACACTCAAAACTGAAGACAATCTGATCTGATTTGACACACAGTATAGTAGCACTATCACCTATCTAGTACTGTGCATTGTGCCTCTTAATTCTAAAAAATTTGTGTTAATCTTGGATGCCCTAATACATTGTTGAACTTGCAGTCAGCTAGTCTAACCCCTTTTTCCTTCTCTTCCTTGCACCTAGATCATTTTTCAGATGAACTGCTATTTAAATACCATCTTCCTTTATCTGGTAATTGTCAGTTAGTCAACAGATGCTTATTAAGTACCTACCTCGTGCCAGGTACTGCACTTAATACCGGGAGTCCAAAGAAAGACAAAAGAGTCCCTGCTCTCAAGTTGTTCACAATCTAATGGGTAGACAGCATGCAAACAGCTCCATGTAAACAAGCGATTGGTAATATAAACTTGTGAAGTTGCTTTTTTGAACCAAGTATGAGACTTTCCATTTATACCTAGTAAATAATCTGGCCCATTGTTCTATCCGATTCAGATATTTTAAAATCTTTCCCCTTCTATCTAATGTGTTGGTGATCCCTCCCACGTTTGTGTCAACAGATCATTGATACAAATATGAAGTATTCCACTGGAGACTTCTTTCTAAGTTGATATGGGACTACTCTCTCTAGCCAGACTTTCAACCACCTATTCCACACAGTTTTACAATCCAATTTTTCACAGCAGAGCACAGTAGATTCTTAAATGTTTTACTAGGTAAATAGACTTTATTTACAGTGTCCCCTTATCTACCAGTTTAATAACCTTGTCAAAAAAGGAAAGAAAGTCCTCTTATTGGTGAAGCCATGCTGGCCTTTGTTAACCCTCTTTTTGATGCTGTGTTCTAGATTTTTGTCAGGAATGAAAGTCATTCTCCATGGCCCATAGTTTGCAGGCTTCATTCTTTTTCCTTCTTTCTTTTAAAAATCAAGACAAAATCTTCCCTTCTCCAATCCTACTAGTCTTTCCCATTTTCCAATGAGCATTGACACTGGCTTATTAATTACCCTTCACCAGATCGTTCAATAAGTGGGATGTAGTTTATCTGGGCCAGGTAACTTGAACTCATCAAGGGCAGGTAGGGGCTCTCAGTGTCTCCATAATTATCTTTATTAAAAAATGTGTATTGGTCATTTTTGCTGAGTCCCTTTTAGTGCAGAGATCTTTCTTGGCAGAGAAAATAGAAGCAAAATGAGAACTGACTCAGCTTTGCCTTTTGTCTGAATTAAGTTATCTTTGCCCTTTCCAATGGTCCTCTCCCTTCTTTGATTCTCCCCTTTTACCTCAATGTAGCTAAATTTTTTTCTGACCTACTTATATAATCTCAGTGATGATCCTGTGGGTCCAATTGTCTCCACGGAAATGACTCCTAAGTCTGTATATCCATTCCTAATTTCTCTAGTTCTAGCTCCATATTACCAATTATATATTAGACACTTCTATCTAAATGTCCCATAGGCACCTGAAACTAAGTATATACAAAATGGGGCTCATTATCTCCCATCCTAAATCTATCCATTCTCCAGACTTCCCTATTTCTGTTCATAGAGCAACCATCTTTCCAATTGCTCAGGTTGGCAATGTATGTGTCATCCTTGACTGAAAAGCAATTTCATTTATTTCCCCCACCCATCCAATTAGTTGTCAAGTCTTGCTGATTTTCTCTGTGTGACATCTCTTGTATCTTTCCCTTTCTGTCCACTCACAGCTACCACCTTAGTTTAGGCCCTCATCACTTTTTGCCTGGACTGTTATTGTTCCTTCCCTCACCAATCCATCCACAAATACTAAAATAATCTTCCTAAGGCACTGATCTGACCATGCTACCACTCACCTCCTCCCTCCAAGACCTTTTGCTGGTTCCTTAGGCCCTCTAGGACAAAGTACAAACTCTTCAGCCTGACATTTAAAGCCCTATGAAGTCTGGCTCTAGCCCACATTTCTAGACTATTTTCACATCACCTTTTTATGTGCTTTTTTCATTCCAGTCAGGCTAGCTTGCTTGCTGTTCCGCGAGTACAGTATCTCATCTCCCACCTTAGTGCTCTCCAAAATTTGGGGTCTCTAAGAAGTCTTAGCTTCCTTCAAGACTCAGCTCAGGTGTCACCTTCTCAGGGGAGCCTTTCTTATGCCCCCAGTTTTAGTGCTTTTCAGGAAAATGCTGGATCCTTCTGTAAAATATAAGTCCCTTAGGTCAAGGGCAGTTTTGTTTTTGTCTTTGTATTTCCAATGCCTAGCACTGTGTCACGCTCCTCGTAGGTGCCTAATAAATATTTGTTGATTTGAATTCACTTAAATCTATTTCTTTTTCTACATAGCTTCTGATTTCCTCCCAATTTGTGCCGGAGCACTTTCCAAAGTCAAGAAGGAGCAGGTCCTATGTCTACGTAATTAACACCCCAAGATAGTGAAGAATTTCTTTCTCATTGTGTCACACAGAGGGCAGCAGTGAGAGGACAGTACATTTCATTCCAGAGCCCACCCATGAACATGTTTGTTGTGGTATGGAAGAGGGAAGAGACAGAGAGACAGAGAGAGACATAGAGAGACATAGAGAGAGACAGACAGAGAGCTGATGGCAATGGTGGATTTCTGTGGAAAGTGTCTCATCCTCCTCCTCCTGCCCTTCTCCACCTCTACACCCCCCCCCCACACACCCATTTGCTTTGGGTCCTAGGTCTGGTCTCTGAGAATAGGGAAACAGGCACAGAAAGCTTCCTTCCCCCAGGGAAACTGGAGAAGCCGCAAGCAGTAAAGGGTCCAAAATTGGAGTAAACTAAATCGGTGGCCCTTATCAGTTTTGTTACTTATTAAGAGAATTAATCATGGGTGAGCTTCTGTGGGCTCCTGATCTGGGGTTTAAAGAAAAAAACAACTGGGAAGCACTCATCAGCATGCCTGGGAGAGGAATAACTGAGGAAATCCCCTTGCAGTATTTTGTGTCTGTTTTACTTAGAAGATTAAGACACTGTGTTAATTTAAACCTCTTTCCCCCTGCTCCCCCCCATCCCCCAAGGAAGTGGTGAACTCTGAGGAGGCATGGGGCTGATTAGACTTTGACGAGCCCGAGTTATGTCCTCAATCTTGCAATGACTAAATTAGGCTATAATTCAATTAGCCTAGAATGGTGACAGAGGCATTGAAGACATAGGGGGAATTAACTATTTGGCAGTAGTGTTCCCCCAGGGGAAAAGTTCTTTTCCTTTTCTTACTCTTCTCCCTCTCAGAGACCCCACTCACATGCAGCTGCCTAACACACACTCTAGGGGGTTGACATTGGCTAGTCTGAAAATGTGACTTTCTGGAACAGCTACAGTTGGTTTTCTTTTCTTTTTTTTCTTTTCTTCTTAAACAACAACAACAACAACAACCACTTACTCCTTTGTTGGCAGGTTTATAAATGCACAGCAGTGGCTAGGGTAAGTTAAGGTGGCTTCCAGAAGACTGACAAATTTTTCCCGGGGTGGTAATTTCTTTAGGGAATAGGATGATGTGGCAATTAACACCTGAACGGACTCCAGCCCATAGCTAGGTAGTGCCTCCAGCTTGGTAGAAGAAATATCCCTGTAGAGAAAGAAGATAACGTGTTTGTTTTATCTCATTAAATTTTCTTATACCTCACACTTTCCCAGGATGATGATATCATTCTGATTTTTTTTGAAGTTTGGGAGTTTGCCTTTTTGTTTGTTCTCCATAGTATCTCTGTCAGTCTCACTGAGTATAAACTTAAAGCAGTGATATCTTATTTTTAATTGTCTTAAGAAGCCATTATTCTGTCCTGTAAGCTTTTGTCTCAAGCCTCTAGCACCTGCTTGTGCCTGCATCTGTACATAACATTCAGCATTTAGGAGAAGTGAAATTACTTGTATTCTGAGATGGCAAGTTCATGCAATGCCATCATCTTTTGTATGCTACCCCAGGGAAAGCATTCAGGGCCTCTGAAGCCTTGCTCCCTGATTGATAAAGCTCAGTGGGATAGGTTTTCGTGAAGTACAGGTTTGTTATTCTATTAAGAACCATTGTATGGCATTAGCCATCTTCTACCCAGGAAGCAAGATGCAGTCTCCAAAGCAACCATTCCTCTAAACTCTTTTTGCAACTAATGCTTTGCTCCCAGCAGAGCTATGTGAAAAGTTCCCAAATAGGAAAAAAAAATCAGGCTGTATAAGCAGGTTCCTAATTCTCAAAATTTGCCAGACTTGTGAAAAATATCAAGATAAATTTCAGGTATCCAAGTCAAAGGGATTTCAAAAGCCTGTCCATCCTTCAGAACACAGTTGAAATCCCATCCCTTATATTGATGGCCTTCACTTTTCACCAGCCTAGCCCAGAATGGTCTGTCCCTCATCTGATTCAGAGCACTTAGTGTCTGTGCCATTTGTATGAACTTAATCACATACTCCCCTGTGGCTGCTTATGTTTTGTTGTTGATACGTGGTAGTGGATAGAATGCTGGGCCTGGAGTCAGGAAGACCTGAATTCAAATCAAGCCTCAGGAATCTACTTGCAGTGTGACCCTGGGCCAATTAATCAGTCTGCCTCAGTTTCCTCAACTGTAAAATGGGGATCATAATAGCATCTATTTGCAAAGGTTGCTGGGAAGATCAAATAAGAGAAGATTTGTACAATTCTTGGCACAGTGCCTGATACGTGGTAGGTGCTTAATTTTTGTTTCCTTTTTTCCCGTGCGTGTCCAACTAGACAACAAATTGCTTCTGAGCAGCATACCTTCTTGAAATAATGTGTCTAAAACTTCAAAAGCCTTAAAATGTTATATAAATGTCAATTAATATTATTATCATTTAATTTATATTCCCTCATGACACCCTTTACATGTAACGGACACGGCTGAGAGAATTTTAGAGACAGTTTGGCCAATTCCTTAATTTTACAGAGAAGGAAACTGAGGCCTAAGAAGGTTAAGTGATGTGCCCATGGAGGGTAGTACAGGGCAAGGGCGAGGTTGGAACCCAGCTTCTCTGGTGTTAGATTGTTGGAAGTAGAAATCTTAAAAACAATGATTGTTGTTTTCACAAAAATGACAAATCTTACAAAACCATTCACTTTTTACAAGCTTCATGAGTTGCTAGTGAAATTTTACGTTCAGTGTTCTAGTCTTATCATGGGCTTAGATGGGTAGGCTGATGCCTTGTTAACTCTTTGGGGACCCAGTTACCCATTTGTGTTTTAAAGAAGATAACATGTTTCCTACTTTCAGTTTTTTCACTAGTTCTCATCAGTCAAAACAAAGAATGAACATATAGGAGAGAGCACCAGGAGCAGGGCAGTGGGCATTTTCATCACTTTCCTGCAACCTGGTTACATGTAATACTGGACTTATTCTGCTTGTGTGAGGGGACGCGTAAGGATCAAGAATCAACTGTCTACAAGGACTCTGGCTGGTGAGCATCTCGTCTCCCTGTTTGTTGTAAGGCACTATAAACTTCCAGGATGAAGGCTGCGATGAAGGAGAAGATATGGAGAAAAGTGGCAGAAGCGAGATAGGTCCAATGTTGGCTTTACACACAGGAAGAGGAAGCTGCTCATGTGAGATGGTTTCAGGATATTTCCTCCACTGACTTTCACTCATATCTAAAAATTTCAGCATGATAGGATCATTCCTTTGGGTTAAGGCCTTGTGTTTTGCCAAAATATGGAATAGCATATGAAGCTATTCAGTATTAACACTTTGGGAGAGATCAATTTATTAGATATTGTAAGCCTCACCTGGTTGAACCTAGATCATTTTAGAGTTCTACAACTTACTAATTTAGATAGAGGAGGCAGCTGGGAGAGGGAGATCTAAAGATAGGGAGGACAGACCTGAGTGAGACATTGAAATAGAGCTCTCTGGGCAACTGGAGGCCCTGAGTACCTGGCATCAGTCATTCAACAAGCATTTATTAAGTACTTAGTATATGCCAGGCTGAGAGCTGGGGTTATAAAGAAAGACAAAAGATTAGTCCTTGCCCTCAAGGAGCTTACATTCTAATGGGAGACACAACAGGTAGACAGCTATGTACATATAAGATTATATACAGAGTTGATGCAAAGGAAATCTTAGACTGAAGACACTAGTGGGATTTGGGAGACTTATGGGGGGGGCAGGAACAGAACATGGAGAGGAGAAAAAAACAGCATAAGGAGAGGCAAGGAGACCAAAGACCAAATTTTCCAACCTCACAATTTCACTGAGAGATTTACCACGTTTCCCTGTTGCCTTCCTGAGTGTTCTCTTCCTGGGTACTATTCCATCCATACCATTCTATAATGATGGAGCCCCTCAACTCGAGGAGCAATAATGAGACTATTATTCTGGGGCGGGGGAGGTGTGTGACATGAGAACAGAATGTTCCACATGTCATGAGCAGTCTATACCTGGCCCTGGCTAAGTGGTGTAGATACTTTTAGGCAGGGAGACCTTCTTGATCTTTCTCAAATATTCTCTGCCTACTCCAACGTATTCTCAGGCTTCCACACCACATTTCTGATAGGGTCTACGTTGTCAACAGCTGCATCATCAGGTACAAATTGAGAATGGTGAGGAGGGTGTGGGAGCAACTGAACCCTGATAGGGAGGGTGTGGTAGGGGATGCTTCACCATACTCACAACACATTGGGTCCAGTGGCCCCTCTCAAGGCATCGTTGTGCATTTTCCTCAGGTTCTTATTCTCCTTTAAGTCCCTGTGGAAGAGAATGGTGTTTCTTTAGGACTTCATCTTTTTAATATTCCTGAGAAATGCTATGTGTATGTTGTGCCAATATTGGAATGTCAGTATATGCCCTCATACCCCAAATTATGCTTGCTTCTGCATATGTACCAATACATACCCCTGCATAAAGAGAATAGGGGGAAAAGAAAGAAGAAAATAGGTGAAGCTATCTTGCCAGATGGAGGAAAGATACTGCAGTCCAAAAACTCTTCCTTTGCCTGCTCCACTCTCCCAGCAAGAGATAGTTTGATTTAAGGTCCAATATAAGCTAGCAGATGCCTGGGAAATTTGTGCTCTAGGACCCCTGGAAGGCAGATGATGCCAGGCTAATCAAAGGAGGCAGGGTACAGCCTAGACTGAGATACTAAAAGCTATTTTGAACAGATAAGACCATTTCCCTTCCTTCTTCATTTCTTCCTCCCTCCTCCTGCTTGACTTGTCTGGAACTGCTGGCTCCTGGGGATAGGATGATGGCATGGGATGGGGTCTCTTTTCATTATGTCAAGAATTAACCAATAGGAAGCATGATATAGTGGAAAGAACACAAGATCTGGAACCAGAACCCTTGGCTTTGAGTGCCATCTTTCCCACTGACCACCTGAGTAAACTTGGGCAGGTCTTTAAACTTCTCTGAGACTGAGTTGCCTTATCTCTAAAATGGGAAAATATTACCTGCAGTATATTCCTCCCTGGCTTACTGTGAGGATCAAGTAATAATCTATAAAAATCACTATATACATGTAAGTTATTAGTATTAATAATGCTATTCAGCTCTGGTCCTTGGAAAAATTAAGGAGCCCTTTGAGAGGTATCTTCTAGACTCCTAATCTCCCTCCAGTCTTTCCTGTTTCCTGATCCCCTTGGTAAACATCTCTTACCCTTCAATGTCAGGTCCCAAGTTCCTCCTCACTTTACCCTCCCACTTTGTTTATACTTTATTGAAATTTTATTACTACTTTTCCTTTCTCATGACAAGAGAAAATGTGCATTATAAATCTAATCTTTGGGAACCTAAAAGCTTAGCCTCCTGTTAAGAGACCTCAAACATCATGAGGGAGATATTTCTGAGGCAAAAAAGGGTTTTCTCTGAACCCTTGAAATCATATTATACAAATAGCCGCCTTTTCATCATTGGTGAGAAGTCTTCAAGTTACTAATGATGAAGTAAAGATCAAGAAAGGAATAATGGAAACCAGATTTTTTCCTGATACTCCTCTTTTAGCCTTTTGTGCCAGTAAACTGGAAGTTGGCTAACAGGGGCCCAGCCCTTCAAGTATACATAGCCTGCTCTGCCTGGTGCCAACTCGTGCGGATATCTGGGGAATTTGTTTCTGGAAATGCACAATGGCGCATAATGTAGGGACCATGTCCCCAATTTAAAGCATGTACACAGGCATTCTGTGACTTTTTATCTGCTTGCTGAGAGGTAAAAAAAAGTCTTCTTTTGGGGTACTAAACTGGAACTGAGAGTGCGCACAGAAGGCTCCAGTGGAAGAATTCAAGCTCAATCTCTGCTCCAGTGGCCCTTATTTCCCCTGTTTTGGCCACCTACTTTGGCTATCACGTGGTCTTGTGCACATGGTAGTTTTATGTCTTCTCTCTCTTTTGCATTTCATCTTTCCCCCCTGATATTAAATGAATGAAGGTAAGAGACAAACAGACCAGGATATGACCTGATGAACTTTGAAAAGTCAGAAGAACCAACAAAAGTCAAAGAACTAAGTTAAACTTTCAGGCCTTCCTGATGAGGAGTCAGCCCTGAGGCTCACCTGTTTGACCTAGCCCGGCAATGAACCAACCTCACTTCCTAAGCACTATATCCTGCAATCAAGGGTGCAACTTACCCACTGACTATAATACACTGAGAAGGGCACTTGATGGGGGAAATATTTGTAGCAGTCACATTAAGATCAAGCACACTCTCTCCAGGGTCCAAGGTAGTAGAAGGAGAGTGTGATTTAGAGTGGGATATATTTGTGTTTCTCTTTTTCCTCTATCTTCTCAGTAAATATCTCTTTGTAAAAGTTAATTGGTATTAATCATTTATGATATTGAAGAGATCAGTTGTTGAAGTAATGGGGTGATAGTAACTGGCACTGACAAATAATACTGGCGTAAAAATAATAATTTGATACTAGGGAAATATACCAGAGGGGATCGTGAGCTGAAAGCATTAGAAGAGCCCCGCTTCCCCATCCGGGATACCGTTAGGCTCTTGGAGAGAGATGGGGCAGTGGCCTAGCTCTGGTGATTTGATCCATTAGTGTTAAGGTAGAGCTGGGAGATTGAGCCCAGAGCCTATAAAGGCTTCACCAATGATTTTATCTCCTCTTTCCTCTAATCCATTGGTGTTTCAGGAGGTCATATCAGAAGACATAAGATCACATCATCATTCCGTAGTGGCTGTTCCTATGCCATGAGGGTCAGCCCTTCTGTATGAGGCTACATAGTGTCTGTTGGAGCATCAATTGTGAAGTGGGATATTGTGAGGGAGGAAAAAAGCAAAACCCAAAGTCCCAGACCTCTTCTTCCTGGGTCACCTAGTGAATTCAGGTAGCTCATTAAAAGTATAGATTGACTAGGCAGCTTTATTGAACCTGTGTAATTTTTTTGAGCAAATTCACTTAAGCAATAGTTATGTTTTCCAGATTGCAGATAAGAGTTGTTTAAAAACACAAATCAGTGTGGGCAAAGGAAGATGTCTAGATGAGCAAGAATTCTATCTTTTTGTATCAGGGCCAGCCTTTGCATTGAAAAGCATTGCTGTCTCACAGCTCCTATGTTGTTCCCAGGCCAGATGGCCAGTACTACTGGCTGAGGACTACCCCTGCTTAAGGTCTCTGGGCAAGGTGATCTGGGCAAGTCATGATGAAGCTAGGCAACCAGGAAGGAGGGAAGAGCTATGGTCCCCGCTCTGAGGTCCAATGTCCAGTAAATCTAGAGGAAAGCATCAGGAGCTGAGAGAGGAGTGTTATCAGCCAGTAGAGGTCTATGGCAGTAGCTACTTGGATAGCTTGCCTGAGGATTTTTGCTGCTTTTTTAAACTAGAGCTTAGTTTTAAGTGCTTAGTGCTAACTTGTCTAATTTGGCCTTGTGAGTTTAAAAGACCTCCTCACTGTCAGTGTACACTCTAGAAAGCATTTCTTCTACGAGCAGATGGGAATCCCAGTGCCCTAGTGGTTCAAGCCTGGGTTCTCCAGTCTTCTAGATGGCACAGTGGATGAAGTGCCAGGCCTAGAGTCAGGAAGACCTGAATTCAAATCCTGCTTCAGACACTTACTGCTATGTGACCTTGGGTAAGTCACTTAACCTTGTTTGTCTCAGTTTCCTCATCTGTGAAATGGGGATAATAGCACCTACCTCCCAGGTTTGTTGTGAGGATCAAATGAGATAATAATTTTAAAGAGTGTAGCACAGTGTCTGGCACCTAGTAAGTGCTATATAAATGTTAATCAGCTATGCTACTTCTCCCTGTTAATGTCATACTTCCAGAGTAGGAAAGGGAACAGGGTGCCTTGGACCCTGATTATAGAATTCCAGGTTACCCAGGAAGACAATTGACATCCTTCTAGTCATTACTACATGGTAAACAGCCCTGTAGTGAAGCCTTTCTATGATGTCTCATTGTAGTGAGGCAGCGTACAGGGCAGAGGGAGGAACAGATCCTAGGACCAAGCAGAAATGACCTTTAAATAATTACGCTTTTGATGAATCTAGTATTTGTCCTCTAAGAACCAATGTGGTTAAATCCCCAAAGGTTGGATTATTGACCAGATGACTTTTTGGTCAAATCAAGTCATGAAGATCCTCTATTAGTGTGCAGAAGAGGGTTGGGGAACTATATTGTTGGAGGGAGGACCCACTCTAGGGCAAGCAGGGGGCTTTAGAAGTCTTGAAGTAAGTAATGATTGGCTATTTAACTGGGCATTAGTCTCAAAGTGGGATGCTTTATGTCTTCTTCCCTGTCTTTCTGATGGTCTCCAAATCATTCCTGTCATCTAAAAATCATCAATACCATGGCAGCCCACTCCCCCAGGGAGTTTTTGAAATGCTTCTCCTAAGTGTGTTGCTGTGGAAACCTTCACTCCTTTCATATGTATCTCAGAACGCACACATTTTGCACATTCCCATCCCTTGAGTATAGTTCGACTTTCAAAGAGATCAGGTTGTCAGAGTCAATTGCTATTTGAAACCTAAATCAAATGGAGTTTCCTTTCCCAATCTGCCGCAGTTCTTCCTCAGCTTTCAGTTTGTTTTAATTATGTTCAGTTATGATCGTAAATCTTTCAAATTGGGCTATGTGAGTAAATAATCCCCATGACAACCAGTTCAAATTAATTGTTCACATTTTCGCAAGAGAGAGCTTTGCATGGTTTATTAAAGCTAGTTCTCTTCCATCTACCATAATTTTTTTTTATCTACACATTTTGTAATCCAGTCAAAAACCAAATAAATCGGCCATACTTTCCTGCTTTCTGCTTTGGGGAACTATTCTGAATGGAGGAGAGAGTCTCTTTGGTCTGCCAGCAGACATCACATGACTACCTTTTAAAATTCAATGGGAGAGGCTAAAAAAAAAAAAAGCCAGATCGTCCCATAAGCCAGCAGAATGCTAGGAATGGTAGATTCTGGTTACCTGAATTTTCTTTTTTCTTTTTTTTTTCTTTTTGGTTGGGCAATTGGGGTTAAGTGACTTGCCCAGAGTCACACAGCTAGTGAGTGTTATGTGTCTGAGGTCACATTTGAACTCAGGTCCTCCTGACTTCAAGGCTGGAACTCTATCCACTGCACCACCTAGCTGCCTCCTGAATTTTCTAGATAACTGTGAACAAATCAGAAAAACAGCAGCAATAATAATAATAGTAACAGACAGCACAGTGCCTGGCACATAGTAAGCACTTAATAAATGCTTCTTGACTGACCAATAATATTTCTACTGCACTTTAAGATTTACAAAGTTTTCCCTTTTTTGTGTTTAACCCTTTTCAATGAAAATGTTCTTAAAATCTTTCCTGACTTAAATATAGTCTAGTGAGCATAATTGAGCACATACTTGCTGACCTCAGCTCTTTCTGAGGTTTAGTATTATTGGTTCCAATTATTAGATAGTTGGAGACTGGATTGAATAAGTGCTGAGCATGGGGAATTAACTAGATGGTTTTTTTCCTTTTCTTTTTTTAAACAAAATCCTTACTATTAACTTTCTTCTTTTTCTTCACAGGTGGAAATTGAATTCTGATTAATTGGGATTTTGTTGAACCAAATATTAGACAAGGCATGAGTATCTGTGCATATTCATGGCAGAAACTGATCTAAAGAACCCAAATGAACCATGAATTAGATATGTCAACTGGACTCCTGCATGTGTCTCTTTAGATATTCAAACCATATGTATCTGTAGATACAGCTGTATATAGAAAGAGGCAAAAGTTATCATTAGGTGTGGAGAATCACATAAAAAACCATTTGATTCCGGTCTGAGACCAAACTAAGTTGCTTCTTTTATGGAGTTTTAACTTGTCATGAGGTCAAGATCTGCATGATTTGTTTAGTAACATGGGTAGTCTCCTTAATTTGTTTTATTTTTGTTTTTTTTTAAATAGTCAAGTTCTTATATAGATATACTTTCTGCAAGATAGTTTTTTTTTAAAAAAAATACCTTCCTGTAGACATTCAGTATGGCAATGCTATTTTAAAACACATTTTGTTTAACTTATCTTTCATCACTGGGTCATCAGCTTCACATGAGATCTATCACTGCATTTTTCAGGAGGCCAAGGGACCAAAGAAAAATGAAAAAGAAGGAGGAAACATGGCTGGGGCATGATTCTTCTGCGGAGTTAAAGGTGAGTGAGCTCTCTCTAAGCAAGGGTTGATCTAGGAACAAAGTGCCATGGTGGCAACTTGGAATTGAACATTAGGACTCTTGTCCAGCAGGCTTTGATTTCTCTACGATGGGGTCTAGAAAGAAAGCTCTTCAGAATAATTTTTCATCCTAAAATTGTGCCTTCTTTGAAATACCATCTATCTGAAAAGGGGCTTATAGAGGGAAGTTGTGAGATGAAGAAGGTATGAAGTGGGGCTGCTGAATGTTTAGCAAACTGTCAACCTCTATGTAGGGAGGCAGCCTGCTCTATCTTTGAAAGTAGGGTGCTTTGGGGTTTCTAGCCAGTCAGTTGCTTGGTAACATATTGAAGTGCTGATGACTAACCACTTCAAAGTTTATTTTTACCTACAGTTAGTTGCTGGAGATTGAATTTGATCTGGTCTCCAGATTAATGTTTCATTTTTATTCATGAGCTATGGGAATAAGGAGAATACTTACAGTGAAATCAGTGTCGTCCCATTGAACGCGTGGCTTTGTATTTCTTCAAATCCATTTCCATATAGTTTGCTGCAGAAAAGGACGAGGTGAGATGGGGAGAAGGGACAGAATAGAACCCAAAGAAATGAGATTAAGAAGTAGAAAACGAGTCTTCTTTTGGGCATTTGGTACTAAGGAAAATGACTGTAATTCACCATATATCTAGTTAACGTCTCCCTGACAGGGGGATGGTTTTTTAAGATCATCAGCTTCCAGAGGCCAGGGAACATCCTTTGCTTTAGTTTAGTTTCTGTGTATAGTGTTGTGGGAATGTGGATAAGGGGGGGAGTCATTTTGAGATAATTTAATGAAATAGAATCAAATAAGCTTTTACAGCTAAAAAAAAATTTTAGAGATCAACATGGTGCCCCATTGGAAAGAATAGTAATTGTGGAGCAGAGAATCTATGGTCAACTCTTGGCTTTGTTGTTTTTGACCTTTATAACTTTGGGAAAAGTCATTTAATCTAGGTGTCAGTTTTCTTATCTACAAAACAAAGGCTCTAAGCTGAGGTACATAGATTTCCTACGAGGTCCATGGAGAGATTTCAAAGGTCCATGAACTTACATGGGGAAAAAAATTACACCCTTATTTTAACTATCTGAGATGTGCATTTCCTTCAAGTATCAAAAGACATTATTCTTAGAAAAGGTCCATAGGCTTCATGAGGCTGCCAAAGGGGTCCATGATGCAAAAAGGTTAAGAACTCAAGCTATAAAATTTGAGGGTTGGACTAGATGACTTCAAAGGTTTCTTCCAACCCTAAATTCATCATCTACTCCAATGCCTTTATTTTACAGATGGGGAAATTGAGGCCCAGAGAAAGGAAGTGACACAGCTAGATGTTTTGGGAAAAAAGTTTCCAAAACATAAATTATCGAGGAGTTATTTGCATTACAAAATAACTCATGATTGTGAGATAGAGTTATGAAACAGGTTGTTAACTGTTATAGCAAACTTTCAGAAGGCAGTGCAGCTGTACCATATATCTATTTTAGGGATATTCTTCAAAGCACCCAACTGGTTTCCCTATTCATTTCCAGTTCAAGTCGCACTCATTATCCCTAGGGAGCTTCCCCTGCTTATTTATGTCAGCTCTCCATGAATTCTCTCTCCTATGAACTCCTGTAGAATTTTGCTCTGTGTTATAGCACAGCACTCAGATAATATTCTGAGTTGGGCTCCCTGGTGGTCTACTGGAGCTAGTCTTCTCTCCCCAGTTAGACTGTAGACCCTTTGAGAAGAGGGTCCATGTCTTGTGCTCCATCTGTAACTCCAGAGGGCCCACCACAGGGCCAGACTGATGGCTGGAGGTCAATAAATGCAAGCTGTTTACTCAGGTTGCCGTTATCAGATACCTTATCACTCAGTGCCCAGCCTCCTGGTGGGGATGAATCATGGTGAATTTGGCTTGGCTGATCCTGAGAAGGCATGAATAGCCTGTTCTGGGGAGCATTTTCAAAGACTTTCCAGTGCACTCCTCTAACAGAACAGATGCTTCTTGAGGGCAGGGGCTATTTTTATTTTTGTCTTTGGACCTCCAGTGCCTAGCACAGTGCTAGGTACATAGTTGGTGTTTAATACTGTAAATGCTTATTGATCAGACAGATTGATTAGGTGGACCTCCTGTGGAGGATTTATTGGAGAATATGGGTAAGAGTGGCATAGAATGTGATCACAGAGGTCCATCTAAGTATGGGCAGATGGTAACCTTTGTTTAAGGCTCATTAATTACTCGGTAAAGAGGTTGCAGGAGAAATATACTAAAGCATATAGGAATTAGTTGGAAATGAAGATGTGGCTTCTCCAGAATTACGCATATGTTTGTATATTGTCTCCTCCATTAAATTATGAGCTCCATGAGGGCACAATTGTTTTTTGCCTTTCTTTGTATTTCCAGCACTTAGCACAGTGCTTGGCACATAGGGAACACTTAATATGTGCCTATTGCCTGACTGACATTCTGGCATGAACTTTTTTATAAGCTATACCACCATGTTCATAGGATCTTTAGATCATAGATTTAGAAATCAGGGGACGTTAAAGGTCATTTATTCCACTCTGCACCCCCACTCATTTACAGATGAAGAAATTGAGGACCTGAGTGGTTCATATAGAGTTTGTAGTACATAAACCCCTAGTCTGTTCCTATGTGAATTTCTAAGCCTTTCCCTTTCTATAAAGGTAGAATGGATTTTTTGAGACCTAAATGCAAGACTTAACATTTATCTTTGTTTAAATTGAATCTTTTTAGTTTTAGACTGTCATATCTGGTCTTTCATGATCTGTCATCCAACATAACTATCTCTTCCAACTTTGTATCATCTGAAAGACTACACAAATAACTAGGAAAAATAAAGCAAGAGATTAAATGATGAAACAAAAGCTCTGGAGGAAATAATTGGAAAAATAAATATCTTAGAAGAGAAAATAGTAAAGCTTAAAGAAGTAATGGACTCTTCGAAAACTAGAAGAGATCACACAGCATTCAATGACTCCATGAGACATCAAACAATATTAAAACAAAGCAGAAAAAATGTCAATTATAAAAGATGATACCTAGGTTGTAAGCCTGAGCATGGTGGAACTTTCAGCAGTAATAGAGAAGTTAGGAAATGAGTTCTGTTTTGGGCATGTTGAGTTTAAGATGTCTACAGGATGGGCATCTTAGATAGTTCCAATAGGCAGTTGGAGATGTAAGACTGGAGGTCACCAGAGAAGTAAGGGCTGGATAAGCAGATCTGAGAATCATCTGTATAGAGATGGTAATTGGATCTATGGGAGCTGATGAGATCACCGAGTGAAGTAGTATAGAGAAAGAGAAGATGGCACAGGACAGAGCCCTGGGTCACCCACTATTAGTGAGTGTAACCTGGATAAAGATTGAGCAAAGGAGACTGAGATAGATCAGTGAGATGGTAGGAGAAGAGCCATGAGAGCAGAATTGCAAAGATCTAGAGACACAAGAGTATCAAGGAGAAGAGGATTATTGACAGGGTCAAAGGTTTCAAAGAGGTCAAGAAAAATGAGGATTGAGAAAAGGTCATTAGATTTGGTAAGTAAGAGATTGTTAGTAACTTTGGAGAGAGTTGTTTCCGTTGAATGATGAGGTCAGAAGGCAGATTGCAGAGTCTAGAGAGTGAGAGGAAAGGCAGTGGAGGTACTTATTGTAGATGGCCTTGTCAAGGAGTATAAACACAAAAGGGAGGAATAATATGAGAGTGAAAGGGAGAAGCGCTATCAGGGATGGATGGATCAAGGGACATCTTTTTTTTTTCTTTCTTTAAGACGAGGGAGACATTACATCACAGTAACATTCCATTCCATTAATGTACCACAATTGGTTTAGCCCTTCCTCAATCGATGGACAACCTACTTTGTTTTCATTTCCTTGCTTCTACAAAAAGTATTGCTATAAATGTTTTTGTGTATATGGAGTCTTTCTTTTTTGTCAATGACCTCCTTGGAGTATATCTTTAATAGTTCAATATTTGGGTCAAAGGGTAGCCACTTTATTTGCATATTTCCAAACTGCTTTCCAGAATGGTTATACACAGCTGCACCAACAATGCATTAGTGTGCTTATCTTTCCAAAACCTCTTCAACATTGACTATTCTCTTTTTTTGTTATTTTTTTTCCCAATTTGCTGGGTATGGAGTGAAACCTCAGAGCTGTTCTGAATTTCTTTTATTAATGATTTGGAGCATTCTTTCATAGTTGTCAAGAATTTGTAATTTTTATTTTGAAAATTGTTCATATATTTTTAGTACTTATTTGTTGGGTAGTACCTTTTTTGTTTACCATATTTCTCTTTGTTGTCTGTGTATTTTGGGTACAAGTGCTTATCTGAGAAATTTGAACTTTTTTTTTGTCCGTATGACTATTTCTTTTCCTGTCTTAGTTGCATTAATTTTCTTTGTAGAAAAGGTTTTCAATTTCATGGAATTAAATTATTTAGTTTACTTCTTGCAATTATTATTTTTTTTTTTTATCATTTTTTGGTTAAGAATTCAGTTTTCCATAGCTATGAAAGGAATATGATCCACTTCTCTTTCAATTTTTTTCATCATATGACTTTTAATATTCAGGTTGCTTATCCATTTTGGATTTATTGTGGCATATGGTGTAAGGTGTTGGAATAAGCCAAATTTCTGCCAGACTGATTTCCCATTTGTTCTTAACAAATAAGGGCTTCTTTTCTAAGAAATCAGTGTTTTCAGGTTTATCAGACATTGGGTCATTGAGTTCAATGATTTCTTATTCTCCTTTGTCTAGTCTGTTCCGTTGAACTACTTTTCTAATTTTTAGCCAATAATAAAAGGTTTTGATAATCGCCACTTTATAATTTACTCTGAGGTCTGGAAGTGCTCTTCCTCCTTCATTTCCACCTTTTTTATTATTTCCAGTGATGGTCTAGATCTTTTGCTCCTTTAAATGAATTTTTGTATTATTTTGTTGAGTTCTATAAAATACTCCTTTGGTAGTTTGATTGGAATAGTATTAAAATTATAAAATAACCTTGGTAGTATTGTTGTTTGTGTTATATTGTTCCAGCCATGAGCACTGAATATTCCTCTCAACTATTTAGATTGTTCTTTATTCCCTTAAGAACATTTTATAATCTGATCTGTTCAAATGTTAAGTGTGCTTTGGTAGATTGACTCTAAACTATTTTATGCATTGTGTACTTCTTTTGAATGGGATTCTCCTTTCCATGATGTCTTCTTGGATTTTGTTATTATTAGGTAAAAGCACTATTGGTTTTGTGGGTTTATTTTGTATCTTGTAGACAGTTGGGATTCAAAAGCTTTAGCATCAGGATAAATCCAGTAAGATGTAATTCAATAGGAATAAATATAAAACTCCTTATAGGGATTAAAAAAAATCAACATCCTAAATACAAGATGGGAGAGGCATAGCTGGACAGGAGTTTGTCTAAAAAAAAATCTAGGGGTTTAAGGGGACTTCGTTCTCAGTGTGAATCAGCAGCGTGATGTGGCAGCCAAAAAAAGGCAACCCACTCTTTGGC